GAACGATGGGTTGTTTTGCTACTGAGTGCTAGTTCTTTTTCTTAGAACCTTGTTTTCTGGTACTTTTTGACCTTGCAGATTCAAGAAATCTAATGCTAGACTGAGACCTGCTTCTTTATAGTTTTTTTTTTTCCCTCTTTTATTTATTTAAAATTTCTTCTAGTTGGAAAATTTCATCAGGCTGTGTCTAGGTGTCTGGTTTCATTCATCTTTTCAGCAATTGAATCTTTTGCTCTGAAAACGCCAAAATGCCAGCCATGTATCCTGTCCTGTGGTCTCCTGTGGAGCCATGAGTAAATATTGGGTCAATATCGGGCCTTCACGGTAGAAGGTCAAGGGAGGCTCTAGCAGTTAGGGTGTCTAGGGCACTCACTGGAGTTGGACAGCTGGTCAACCTGTTCCAAGGCTTGCTTTCCTCCTTGGACAATGGCTGATGAGAAGTGCTTCTACCACACAGCAGCATTGTTGGGAGATAAGATAGGACACAGCAAGCCAAACACTTAGGCCCCCGGCATGAAGCAAACATTCACAGAAACTGTGATTCTTTAGGTGAGGGTATCAGAGATTGAGGAAGGAGGAAGTAGAGGGCCTTTTTTTGTGGGGTGGGTATTAAGATTATTTTGGCATGGGCCGCATGTGCTTGCTGGAGAGAGACTGAAGGGAGAAGTGAGAAGTCACCCCCAAGGAGGAATCACCATGCTGAAATACCTTCTTTTCCATTTTCCTCTCGAAATTTCAGGTGCACATGCATATGTGCCTGGAGTGTTTTCAGGCTGCCAGCTCTGCCAACTGCAGAGTTGGCCACGTGGGATCAAGTGCCTTAGCCACTGTACCACCGGCTGGCCTGGAAGTAGTGGACTTTTGAGCTGGGCTTGGAGGAGTGGACAAGAGAAGACCTTCTCTGAACCTTTATTTCCCTACTGAAAATGATGGAGCTTGATGGAGATTTAAGTTGTTATTTTCACATTGGAAAAATGACTTGATAGGAGATAATTCCTCACTCTTGAGTCTCAAGTCTCTCCTCTTTCTTTTTTCCCAGTGTATTTGGTGTTTGTGGTTAATGTGACTTTGTTGAAAATGGGATCCAGGGACCGAAAGAGCCTTTATTTTGCCAAAGGACTAGCACACCCATCCACCGTGGCCTGTTTTTTTACAATAAGTAAGAAATTATGTCGTTGAGCCTGATCTGTATCAGGCATGTCCACTGATGTCCGCTGCATGCCCTGCCTGTCTGCCGCACTATAAGCTCATCACGTGTCCCCACGCTCATAACATGTCCCCATGCTCAGCATACAGTAGGTGCTCAGAAAATGCTTGCAGGGCAGAAGATGAGTCAATGCTTCATGTTCCCTATGTGGAGAAATGATTGCTTCGCACTTCACTGAGCAGGTCTTCCTTGCATTTGCTGTTTTATAAAAGATTTATTTGTGGTTGAGCGACAGTCAGTTCTTTGAGGAAAACGAGAAGAACTGGTTTTAGAGCCATTGTGAAACTCCTTTTAATAGCAACAAGACAGGGCTCTGGCAACTTCAAAAAGGGCAATCAAGAAATTCTTGTTTGCACAACAGAAAGAACTATTTAAGTGGTTCCATGGGTTCAAAAGTCATCCCGGACTCTCTATAATTTTCAGCTTCTAATGATTTTCTTTTAGCCTCTAAGGTAATTGGTGAAAGTGTCCTTTTTTTAGAGGGCTATTCTGGTTCAGTTTCGCCAAGTTCACAACTGTCCAAGGTACCTCTGGAAACATCTCCAGGAAGAGAAATTCAGCCGGGGAGGGACAGGTTGGGTGTCACCTCCACCATGTCTTCTCTCCTCTTGGCATGGTTCCCAAGACAGACATTTCTGAGCACCTGTTCTCTGTCTGGCACTGGTGAGGTAAGCAGGGCGCCATCCTTGCCCACAGAAGGCTCAGCGCAGGCGTGGGAATGAATTACGGCAATTGCGAGTGGTAAGTGCGAACTCTGCCCCCAGCCAGGAGAGCTGAGGGCTCAGGGAGATTTGTGGTTGGGAAAACTGGTGCTGGGTGAGGACCTGCTCCCTTGGTGAGCGAGGGAAGGGTGCCTGGGCAGCAGTTACTGCGTGGATGGAGCTGTGGAAGCACGCGATGCTCTTGGCAGGCATATGGCCAAAGTGCAGCTAGGATGCAGAGCATGGAGCCACCGCAGTGGGGCCAGGGGACCCCAGTCTCTCATTTCATGGGAGCCATTGCTACTTAGCTGCAGCCGCTGCTTGCCATGGCAGATCACAGGCCCGCTGTGGCCAGATCTTCTGCTTTTCTTCTATTTCTTTGAAGTGAACCCTAGGTCTGGAGGTTTATGTAAGACTTCCCAAATTTCAAATCATGGGATCTAATTGGGGGAAAAAAAAAAAAAAAAACTTTTTAAAATGTGGAACCACAGGCCAGCAGGTGGTGTGGTGGTTGGTATGCTGGACTCTCACATGGCTGACTATGGTTCGAGTCCTGGATCTGGCAACTTGCTTTTCCACTTTCCCTCTCTGTCTAAGATGAGTACATGTGTTCTGTAGCAAATTAAAAACCAATAATGATACATAAAATTAGATAAATAATTTCTTTTCAGAGTTTTTTTTTTTGCCTTAGGGTGCATGTGCTTGCTGGAGAGAGAGAGAGAGACAGAGAGAGACAGAGACAGTGAGAGGGCAAGTGAGAAATCACATCCAAGAGGGGATGGCCAGACTGCAATCCCTTCTTCTCCATTCTCCTCCTGGGATCTTGGACATGCAAGCACATGTGCCTGGCATGATTTTTAAGCCGCTGAGTCCAGGATTCAAACAATGGTCAGCCATATGGGAGTCCAGCAATATAACTGCTATGCCATCTGCTGGCTCAATAAATAATTTTATTTAAAAAAATAAATGTGGAACAGGGGTCCAGCAGGTGGTGTGGTGGTACGGGACTCCCGCATGGCTGACCATAGTTCTTGTCTCAGATCTGGCAGCTTGCTTTCTCACTTTTCCTCTCTGTTTCTCTCTGGTGAGTGCATGTGCCCTGTAGCAAAAAAAAAAAAAAAAAACACAATAATAATGATAAATGAAATTAAATAAATTCTTCTTTAAAAATATGTGGAACCAAGGTCCAGCAGGTTGCATGGTGGTTAAGGTCCTGTACTCCTACATGGTTCGAGTCCCACACCTGGCTGCTTAAAAATCACGTGTGTATGTGAGTATGACCAAAATCCCAGGAGGAGGATGGAGGAGAAGGGATTGCTTGTGAGTGCATGCACCCTCTGGCAAAAAAACTTTAAAAAAAAAGAGAGCTAGCGAGAGAGAAATGTCATGTAGAACCAAGAAACCATCTCCAGGCCACTGGTTTGTGAAAAGTATGTAGGATCTGAAGAGGATTGACGGTAGGAGGGTCTATGACTGGCCTCGACTGTGTCCTATTCAGCCTCCACTTTGCCAGCCTTAGGAGGAGGTCTGGGCCTGCAGTTTTATTCTATTTCTAAATAGTGGCTTGCCAGTGGGCTGACATCATGGTTCTCCCACCCCCTATTTTTTTAATGAGAGAGAAAAAGAGAAAGATTTTTTAAAAAAATGATTAATTCTGTGTGTGTGTGTGTGTGAGAGAGAGAGAGAGAGAGAGAGAGAGAGAGAGATGGAGACCCCCGACAGGGTTTGCCCCTCTGCAATCCTCCCCTCAGCCAGCTGGGATCACGGGCGTCCAGGTGTGCCCAGCATATTCAAGTCAATTAGGAATCAAACACCTGGCCTTTCCATACGGCTCCTATACCCTCCAGCAGCGTCCCACCTCCTGCACCATATGGCAGGGCTAGGTGAAGATAGGCATTTCTTGACAGGTTCTCACCACGCCATGATTTCCCTGCCTCACCTTTTCAGTTAGTGTGTATTTCCCTGCCCAGCTGTTTAGGGTGGTCTGGGACCCAAACCCAGGCCTGGCATGTGGCTCTAGCATCGCATGGCGGTACCCTACTGCTTCTGCCACCATGGCAAGGCCATCTTCAGTTTTGGAGTCCGGATGCCTCCAGAGAACTTTGATCTCCCCCAACTGTACTTCAGTATGACTCAGGAAGTGGGGGTCAGAAGAGCTTTAGGTTTTTCCTTTTAATGCCCCTTTTTTTGGTTACTGAATCTGGATAGGAACTGTGATGGGTGGTTGTTGAGGCTGGATTGCCTCTTGGAACCTCTGCCTCCCCTCCCAGCTGCTCATGTCTCAGGGAGTCCGACCCCAGGAACAGTGTCTCCCCTCTCACCCTTCTGTCTGCTTTGCTGAAGAACAGAGGGAGGGCCAGGTGGATACACTCTGGGCTGAACTAGTCCTTGCTGCACTTTGCTGCCATATGAGCCAGTGATTGCTCATCCTTTCCCGGAAGTTGGCAAATAGATCTTTTCATTGAAATCCTTTGGGGCTGGCAGGTGGTACAGTGGTTAAGGCACTGGACTCCCTCATAGTAGACCACGGTTCAAGTCTTGGACCTGGCGGCTTGCCTTCTCACTTTCCCTTTCTTTCTCTCTCTCTCTCTGTCTCTCTCTGGTCATATTTAAAAAAATAATAACAAATAAAATAAATAAAGGGGACACTTTTCTAAAAAAATTAAATAAATAAAAATAAATGTTTTGTTCTTAAATACATAGCACAGAGTTGTCCAATACAAATACAATGCAAGCTCCAAATGTGGCTTTACATTTTTTAGTAGCTGCATTAAAAAAGGAAAAAGAGGGGCCGGCAGGTGATGTGGTGGTTAAGGGTGCCAGACTCCCACATGGCCGACCATGGTTTGAGTCCTGGACCTAGTGGCTTGCTTTCTAACTTTTCCGCTCTCTTTCTCTCTCTCTCTCTCTTTCCATCTTTGGTCAAATTTAAATGAATAAATGAGTAAATAAAGTTAAATAAAATAATTATTTAAAAAAAAAAAGGAAAAAGATGGCCAGCAGGTGGTGTGAAGGTTCAGGTGCGGGATTCCACATGACTGACTGTATGGTTTGAGGTCCTGTACCCAGCGGCTTGAAAATCATGCTGGGCATGTGTGCGTGCATGCTTAAAATCCTAAGAAGAGAATGGAGAATGGATTGCAGTGTGGCTATCCCAGGGGTGATTTCTTACTTTCTCACTCTGTCTCTGGTGAGCACATATGCCTGATAGCAAAAAATTGGAAAAAAAAAAAGAAACAGGTGAAATGAATCTTAATAACATTTTATTTAATCCAGTGTCTCCAAACTGTTATCCATTTAACATGTCATCATAATAAAAATTCTTGGGAACCAGCAGTTAGTGTAATGGCTATGTCGCTGGACTCCCACATAGTCGACCACAGTTCATGTCCCGGACCCGGTGGCTTAAAACTCACGCCGGGCACGTGTGTGTGAGTGCCCAAGATCCCGAGAGGAGAATGGAAGAGAAGGGATTGCAGCGTGACCATCCCCCCTGGGGGGTGATTTCTCACTTTCTGTCTCTATGTCTCTCTCTGTCTGTCTGGCGAGCGCACGCGCCCTATAGCGAAAACCTCTCAAAAAAAAAAATTCTTAAGGTACTGTACCTTTTTCACTTTGTACGAGTCTGAAGTCCGTGTGCATTTTCCGTGTAACAGCACCCCTCTGTCTGGATTAGCCATGTTTTAAATGCTCAGTTGCCACATGTGGCTAGTGGCAACTGTATTAGCCAGTGCGGCTGCAACAGAGGCTCTGGAAGTGGTCTTCCACCCAGACAGCGTACAGTTCTTCAAAAGGAAGTGTTCTGTCATGCTTCTTCTCCTGGCTTCAACCTTGGTCAGCTTCTCATCTTCTCCGGACAGAATTCTCTAGGCCCTGTCCTCTTTCCAGCCCCATCTCACCCCTCCTCCCTGTGTCCTGCCAGGCTGGCCTCTTCTTCCCTCGGACAGGCCTGACATCTCCCAGCCTCTGAGCCCTCACACGTGCTGTTCTGGTTACCTGGATAGCACTCCTTTCTCTAGTCCCTCCCTTTGCCTGGCTTATGCTGAACCATTTTTCAGGTTAAGTATGTTTTCTCGGGGAGGCCTTTCCTCCTCTCCTGGTCTCCAGTCCAGACTAGATTCTGTTTCCCTGTTTGATACTGACATGGGGGAAGGACAGGTGTCTGCCTTCTCAGCACCCACCAGATGACAATGACCTAGTTAGGAGTGAGATCGTTGTGTGACATCTGTCTAATGCAGGGGCCGTGACTGCTCTGTATACTCGTGCTTATCCATGGCAGCTTGTAGAGTGGCTCAGAAAATAGGTGGTCAATAAACGAGACTCAGTCTTGTCTAGTAACTGGGCCTGTGGGACCTCTCCCCACTAGGAGTCCCAGACAGTGAGGCCAGGGTGTCAGCCCTGTGGCCAGTACTAGGTCTGCTTTGTTGTCGGCGGCGTCAGCCTCTCTCTGTCTCTCTCTTGACTGGCTTTCAGTTGCCTGTAAATTATATTTTTGGTGGCTGTTAATAAAAATATAGGGCTGGGGAAAAAAAAAAAAGACTTCTCCTAATAGAATTTTATTAAATGGCACTAGTTTAAAAATGTCTCGTAAAAAGTTAATTAATTTGGGATTTGGGGATGAAAGGCGTGATATAAATGTCAGTTATTATTATTACAATTTCAGCCTCACGCTTGTGCTCTTGATCCAGTCCCTGATCTGGAGTCCTTCTTCCTCTTCCCAGGGACTGGCGGCTCTACCGAAATGCCAGCGGCAAATTTGAGCTCTGGGGGTCCATGGGGACAGAGAGGACCTAGCCAAGTCAGGCTGCCCTGCCTTTTCATCTAGGATAATGCAAGACTTCGAGAGCTAGCGCCACGGAAAAGCCGTTGAGGGCAGGACAGTGGGGCGCTCTGGGGAGCGCCTGGCTGAGATAGCCAGGAATGTCAAGGGCACAGGCTTTGCCATCATGGAATCCTGGGATGTACTAGCTGTCGGGGGTCTCACTTTACAGAGAGGGAAACTGAGTTCGAAGAGGGGCTGTGGCTTGCCTAGCCCAAGGTCATGTAGCAAGTTAATTAAATTTATGGAGAAAAAGGCAGTGAATGCAATTAGTGAAGTGGGGAAACCTTTATAAAAAAAAAAAAAAAACCGGTTCAGGCAATTTATTGGTGACAAGTTAGAAACTGTTTTCCAAGGAAATGAGTCCTGGGACTTCTTGTGAGTTCACAGAGACAGACAGCCTTCCCTCTTCAAGACATCCCACCTTGGTTCCCCAGATGGCCAACCCTGTACCTGGAGGGAGGGACTTAGTCCTGACCCAGGGTGTAATTACTCAGGCGAGGTGGGGGGCCAGCTGGGATGTTAATCAGTATCACAGCCAGGGAGGGCGTATCTGTGTGCTCCGGCTTCCCCTTCTTGGAAAGAGGGTATGAAGATGCCCCTCCCAGGGATGGTGGGGCACCAGGGCTGGGAGCGTGCGTGTTTAGGCGTGGTGTAGGGGGCAGTGGGCACCGAGCTCGCACTGTCGGATTGGTCTATCCTTATGGAGCTGAGAGGCAGCCTGGAGTTGGATGTCCCAGATCCTTTCCCCAAGCCTGCTCCCTCTGCAGACTGCCCGACAGGGGTCTGCTCGTTTCTGGTGAAGGCTCACCCACCTCTACCTGCACCCTGCTCCATTCTGGACGGTTCTGGGAAAGCCAGCCTCCTGAGGTGGCTGCCTCCTGACTTCCTAACTTTCCTTGGTTCTTAGATTCTTGCTTTCTGGTATGTATGTATGTATGTATGTATTTATTTATTTATTTTTAAAGAAATACCTTCTAGCAGACCCCTTTTTAAAAATTTCTTTAATTCGTGACAGTATGTGCATGTACGAGAGGGACGAACAGAGATCCCTGGTCTGGCTCATCATGCTGCGATCCCCTTTTACCAGCCCTCCAGCCTGTCAGAATCTTGGGTGCTCATATATGCACCCAGAACATTTTTAAGCTGATCTGGGGATCTGAACCCATAGTCAGCCACGTGGCTTCCGGCACTACAGTTCTGTTTGCTACTGACCACCGCCAGACTGGGCCTCCTTGTTCTGTTTCGAGGAGCACATCGACGGCATTTCCTGGTATGGGTAGATATTGGTATTAAGGTATTTCACACGCACAGCTGAGCTCCCCCATCCCATAAGACCCCTCCCCACATGCGCATCTGAGCTCCTCTACCCCGTAGCACCCTCTCCCCACACGTGCAGCTGAGCTCCCCCATCCCATAAGACCCTCTCCTCTCCTGAGTGGGCCGTGTTCATCCAATGCCACCATTCTCTGCAGTCGCATAGACTCAGTCCCAGTGTCAGACAAGGGGCTCAGGGAAGGTTTCCAGAACAAAACAAGGACGCTAGCTCAGGCCGCTGGTCCTCCTTGACAAGGAATCTGCCCTGGGACTTTTTAGTGAATCCTTCTCCTTGGAGTGATTGGGTTTGCCCAGGGGATTTTAGGATCAGACAGAGCTAGATTTGAACTTGGACTCTTCTGCCTGGGCAAGGTACATAATCTCAGGAATTCTCAGTTTCCTCATGTGATCAGTTGGGATATAGAATTCCTGCTCCGTATCTCACCGTAGGGATTGAAACGGGAAGTGTGTACACAGTGTCGTATACCCCTGCACACACAGCCAACACTAGCACAGTGTCACCTCCTGACGTGGGGTACCCCCTTGGCCCTCCTGGATAGCAACTCTCTTGAGGTCTACCTCTTATTACCATTTAAATCCCCAAAGACCAGGGCTCAGAGGGCTTGACACCACCCTCTGCTAGCCTGTTCCGATTCCTATAGCCACATGCCACCTCTGATTATTAAATGAGAGTTGGACTGGACTGGACTGAATTGAGGGTTCTGGCCCGTGTTTTACGAGGCTCGGTGTTAGGCCCTTGGGACACCCACTGGGGCCAGGCTCTGAGGCTGGAGCAGCCCTGATGTGGGACTTTGGAGCAGATACAGGGGTTCCAGCCTTTTCGGATGTGAAAACAGCCAACGATTGTCTCAATTAGACCACGTGCTGCAGCTCTGGTGTGTTTGATAATAAATACCATTCTTATTCACCTCTCCCTCCTCCCTCCAAGGAGACCATACCTGTCCCAGTCTTTGAAGTCCTTTAAATCGAAGGCCTGGAAGACTAGGGAG